GGAGAAAAAAAATAATAATAAAATAACAACCGATACGGTCGTGTTTGCGGGTTAGGTTAGGTTTTTTCCGTGCTCCGCGGGGATATACCTATATATTATTTATACATGCATAAAACATAATATACATCTACTTTATTATATGTGCGTGTACGCGACTGAATCCAGAGACTCGGTCGAATATAAAAATATTTATTCGTTTTTTACACGAAACACGTGAAAATGGTATGTACACAGAATACCGGTCACACCGTCGCTGCAATGGCGAGATGACTGCGAGTGAGATTAACGTCGAGGTGAACCGTCATGAGGAGCAATAATTATTAGCTCTCCCCGCGGATATACGTTCGGATGATGACGATATTCAGATATTGTTGTATGGGCCTCTCGATCGGTTTTTTCGTCTCAAAACTAACTGCAACTCCTACGCTGCGCAGTATACGTATAATTATATTAAAATATGACCGTTGCGATGAGCCATATTGTTTATGCATGTTATGGCCTGCTTGTCCGCATAGAATTTCCCCACGAGAGTGACCGCGCCGGTTTAAATTGTGGGTTTCGTCCATCGCGGTAGAGATATACCTCTCAAAGGCCCTCCTCGGCACCCTCTTCTATGATGTACATCAGAAATGCACCGCCGCCGCCGCTCGCCCCGTTCATATGCCGCGTGTGACCTATACAATGTGTGCCAAAACCGGTTTCGGTCGTCGGAATATAAAAATAAATAATAATGCACTCTCGGCCAAGGGGGGTGGACGGTGGCGGTTGTGGTGGTCGAGGTGGTGGCCGCCGTGGTGCCCGCGGCGGCGACGCGGCGTCATAGTTGCTGCGCTCGGCGGTGTGACTGACCCCGTGGCCGTCGTCCGTCGACGCCACTGCCGCATTTCTATAGGACGTGATACATAACATTATTATCATTCGTTGTTTTATTCCTCATCTCACTTCGCTGCCGTCTGCCGGTTAAGTAACGACGACGTGGTCGCTATTCGTACATAAATAATAATACAAGCATGTCCGCTGCAACTGCGGTTTTGAGTGAAAAACTCCGTTACGGTTTCGTTCACATCGTCATCATCACCACCGGCGTTGTTGTTATTTAAGACTATTCTCTGTGCGCCTACCAACCCATTCGTTTTCTTTTTTGCTCGTCGTCGGTTTCACTTATGCGCGTGATTGCAAAACGGGCGGTATTCATCGAAACCAAAATATATCATTGTTGGTGTAATTAGTCCGCGGAGATGGCATCGTTCTCGCGTCTAAATGGCTCGTTCAAAGATATTCAAAAATAAACAATAATAATATTATCTATTCAACACATATACCGATAATATGACACACGTAGATCCGCGAAAAATCTAAAGCCCATATAAGTGATAATAAATAATAAATATTGAACACGCAATACGACCACTGCTTTTTTTTTTTAAAGAAACGCGCGGAAATTGACATCATCTCTTTTACAAATTTAAGTGTTAAAGTGTCTATACAATATGCACTCTGGGACGACGGACGTTAAAACAAAAGTTTTCAAAAATGCGATGCAGAATATCTCATTTTTCACACATAAATACGTTATGCTTTTATTTATATATATAGGAATTAACGCCATTCGACTTTTTACAACAAAATTATTTACAGTTAAAACTGTTTTGACAGATCTTATGAATTAATTACGTAAAAAGCTTAAGGCCTGATATAGCCAAGAACATGATTGCTGAGTTGATCTAGCAAATGGGGTGCGTCAATAACAGTTCTCTTATTTTGTCCAAATAAAACGATACCTGGAAGGATACGTAACTATAGGCCTGTAATCATGCTAGTTTGGATGGTCAGTATGTAGACGGTAAATTGTAAAACTCAAAGATCTTGTCGCTGGATGTCACCTATAATATTATAGTATACATAAGACATAACGCCCTTATATAAGTTTATAACGCTGAAAAACTTCTGGTAAATTTCAATGAATGTTGATGTCGGCTAATAAAACCTTGTATAATAGGTATATGTGCGAAGCTCTATTTCAAGGAGATGCCGTGATTTCCGAAGCATTATTATTATATTGTTATATTGTACAAATGTTTGATAATTCAAAAGAGTTAGTAAGGATATATTATTATCCATTCTGATTATTTCGAAATATCGTGTCATTCACGCGCAATAATATATATAGTTATGTAGGTACATACGTTACGCGCTCGGAATCACGAATTCACATTGACCTTGCGTCGCATACAAATAATGTATAGTATAGAGACTATAGGGTATTGGCTTTTGTGTATAATGTTATGAATTATAATGCACATTATAGTTAATAGTTGGTGTAATTTTATATTTTCTTCTTCTTCTTCTTATTATTATTATTATACATGTGCTCATGTTCGTTTGCCCGGTTCATTAAAGCACTTGTATAATTTCAATAGCAACTATATCCACAAACATTATGGCAATACATATTATGCTCTACTGGCTACTGCTGTCTGTAAACATTACGTCAAATCGACCGTGGTAGACCCGAAACCGTAAAAGTGAAACAATTAGGCCAATGCGGATATCAATTAATTTGCACATTGCACGCTATAGTTTTACGGTATCCGACTGCATGCGTACCTAATCTTTTTCATTGAGATACTGCAACGATTGGTGTACKAACTTATAATAATGCACCAATGTATGCCGCAATGAACTGACTTATAAAATATTATGTACCTGTCACCTMCTACTTATTGATTGYTATTTTACTTTAATAAATAATAGTAAAAAAGACGTTTAATTTGCTTTACACACGCTGCACTTGTTGGAAAAATAATYAAGTCCGTGTTTTTTCACTTGTATTTGTCATGTTTACGCATTGTACGCATCCTTACCGGTTGTGTTTGCATAACTGAAATGTACATCGTATGACCTTTGAACAGATAGATCAAACAAAAATGTATATTCTCTTTTTAATAACCCTATAATATATATATAACTTCTAAGAACCAACATTATATTATATTAAACAGTGTATCCGTGTTATGCAAACAGCAGACAGTAGTTAAAATAATATGGTTAAGCGCTTGGTGTAAATATTAGTGTGGTTTACCATGTAGAACTATACATGTACAAAAAATCATTGTTAATAATATACGTACTTGAAATCTAATTAAAAGAATGGAATCGTATTGTGTTGTATACTTGTATAATGCATATAGTTATATATTACCAATTACCATAAAAATTTAACGTAAATAGGTACAGCGGATTTCATCCGTCGTTGCTTGATAATATTTAAACGTTAAATATTATTTAATAACAACTACAATACCGTGTTCCGAACAACATTCGACGTACTATTTATCGGTAAAAAAACAATTTCATTGCTATGTGTACAACACAAATTACAATATTTCCCGGAAATACTTTTACGATCCGTACAGTGTAAAAAAGTCGAGATTATAAAAACAACACTACACGGGGCAGAATTTTTTATTATCACTTATATGATTCTTATACTTCTTTATTATTCTATATATTCGATGGCGAGTAGTGGCGTGTTTAGAATTTTTTCGAGCGACGTGAGGTATTAAGCTCGAAATTTGCATTATAAATTATCATATCTATACTGCCACTACGAATTCGTTTAAATTGTTCATAGGTAATAATATTTTTATAGTAACTCATATAAAAAAATGGTTTATTTTTACCTATAAAGAGGCATACTATTATGTTTATTTTAATCCACGTCGAGCACTAAAAATATAGAACATTTTTTTATGAGAAATTCGCATACTTTTCATGRATTAACCAAACATGATTTTTCGTATCTCAAGAAATTGAAACGAAACGATAAATTAAGTTTCTTATCTCGTCCGTATTCACCCGAAACGGAATATACTTACGTGCCACAAGCAGCCGACACCTTCACCGTATGGATACTGCGGACAACCAAGTATAAGCTAATTAGCATTTCACAACTTTATCGTAGGCGTGTGTGGCAGATTATTATTGCACATTATAACCGTGTGTTGTGTAAGTATTTAAAATTATGTGATTTCGCAATCAGACTCGTGTGCGATCATTCATTATTGTTGATTATGCGCTTTACATAGAAACTGGTGCATTATTATTTGATGCATCGTGGGGTCATGGTTCACSTCATCGTCTCGTCGTCGCGGCCATGACCGGCAATCGACGAGAGTGAGTGGTCACAAATCAGGATCTTTGATCGCGCCACCGAGATCCGTAGCAGGATCTCCTTGTACCGGTTTTACGACCGCCACCGCTTACCGTATTTTTCCTTTCGCGCAAGCTCGCTTCACTTTTGGGAATCGCTCGCGCACGTCTCCACGCGTCCGTCCAAACGAACGATCGGGCGGCGGTGGTCGCCACTGATTCCCCCCCCCCACACTGCACAACCTACTCATCCAACGACCATCCGTCCGTCGACCGTTCACCCATTCGAGCGGTAAGCGTGACGGGAAACGCCCGGCGCGCCCCTCCGTCCTACCACCACCAGCGTCGCGTCCCCGACCCCCGGACGACCGACTCTAACCGTAGCCCCCACCCAACCCCACTAACACGGTGAACGGCGATGACGTCCGACCGCTAACGACGGGCCCCGACCATGCGCGGCGGCCGGGCGGCGTGCGGTTCGCGTTACCCCGTCRCGGCGTCGCCGGAGCAGTACGCGCCGTCCGTTGAGCACCGTCTGTTGGTCTGCGTGCGTGTCCGCCGTTGACGACTTGGACTACGATCTATTCGATCCGCAGTGACGYGAGTGAAAACAGTCCGTGCATGTTATATCATTATTATTGTTGTTGTTATATTTTGACGTCCGATTTTTTGCGTGCCGCTACAAGTGTTGTGTCGCCCGAATAAATCGTTCGTGTGTTGTGGTGTCGCGTTCGAGCCGCTTTCAGTGGACGGACGTGGTTAGTTATACCTACCACATAATATTAGTACAACATACATTGTAATATTATTGAGTAAATAATAATAATACGTTTATTCAGTATTTTCTCTCTCGAAATAGCACGGAATAATGTAACGCGTCGTTAAATGTTTTGTACATATTATACTGGTAATTTTCGTCAGTGTAGGTGGTTTTTAGGTGCTCGCGTTTTCCGTCCGCTCGATAACCGGATATGCGTTTCTACAGGTCATAATGTTGTGATCTGGTCTGCCCGCGTTGTCGAGGTGTTGGTTGGTGTGTGGGTCCGCGGATTTGGGTCATTTTAGCTTTTTACAATCGTTACACGAACGTCGACGACGCGTTTTTCGTGTACATATTATTATTATTAAATATTACTGTCGTAAAACAACAACAAACCCGGTCGGAAAATCGTTAACCACCCTCGCTGCACCTCGGTTACATCGTCAAGACTTCTATAACTCGTACCATATTTTGGGACGCGACGCCCCGTGTTTGACATGCTGCAGGTCATAATTATCTCTCGCGGGTGTTGTGTTCCATCGCCGCCGTGACGAAACTTCCGCCCGTGAACACAGTAGAGCTGGTGCTGACACACATCTGCAAAACAGGACGTGGAATTCGTGTCGTCATCGTCGTCGCGTTTTCGTAAACATTCGTAAACTGCCGTTACCGCGTCGTCGTTGTTTACACGTCACGGACAGCACCACCAACACCCCCTCCTCGCCATCGTCTTTAATTTCGTTTGGAGTGCGTGCCCGTCGATTCTGGTACATGATTGTACATGATGTAGATGCACCCCCTCCTATGCATCCAAAACTTATTAGGTCCGATGATTTTTCTTTACCAATATAATTATTATGTCTAATGAGAAGTATTCGTGACCAATCTGCGAGGGTGTCTACTATCATATTTTAAAATTTTCCATATACACTAGTAGTAAAAAACAAACCTCCGTTCCCAGACAAGAAGACATGAGTGTGATACTCCTTTGTCGGTAACTATTTACAGCCGTTTGAATGCGGATTTTAATCATCGTTCAATCGACAAAAAAAAAAAAATCATTTCAGCTGAATTTATTAATGAGCTCTGAACGCGGGTTTTCGTTTTTTTTCGGTATCAATCGAATAGTTTTATTTTAATTTTAAAAAAAATACGTTAAATGCTTGGTTTACTGCCTTCATTTCCGAAAAAAAACCCATATCAATAAGCCCTGGTTTTATTTTAGTCACCCGTACAATATATTTTAGTGCATTTTGTTATTTATAGAGATAATTCAATTTGAATTAAACGTGTATTTGAGATTTGCGTTGTTTACTCGAATTACTCGTCGTTGGTAAAATCTTAATTGGCTCGAATACGCATGTTTTTTTTAAATTAAAAATGTACATGCCAAACAATTAGTTCGCGTCTTGCCCATTGTTAACGACGACAATATTTTTTTTCACTTTCCAGGAACGGTTCTGTTATTGTAATTTTAACGAACCAAAATAATAAATAAAAAATATGATTATAATGCATAAATCGTTATGAATGTAACGGATCGCGACCAGCGAAATGAATCGATTACGGCGCCGATATTGAAACCATAATGCCGCCCCGCTAGTGTAGATATTGTACCAATTGCAACTGACGTTTTATTATGATGCAAAAATATCTTTTTAAACTCTAATTTATTGGATTATACAACACAATTTGTTTTGTTTTTTCCTTTTGAACATACTTGAGTTTGAATATTATTTCTCCGTGTGCGTTTTATGCAATTAATCCTTTGTAATCAAAATATTTTCATTTTATTAGGTAGTTGAGTTATATCTAGTTGGATACATTTAAAGTCTTGTTGATTATGATATAGTTATTACCAGGGATGGAGTGGGAAGTAAATGGCCCAGTTTTCCATAACAATTTACAGTCCTAACCCATTTTAAACCGGGCTTTTAATCTATTAATTTTTACAAAGATGTATTTTTTCCACGAATACCGGCATTTTTCTGCACCTTATCAAATACATAATATTGCGATTACAACATTTATCATACCATATGATATATAGACAAAATAATAGTTGTTAAAATTATTACCATTTTATCAATATATGTTTATTAACAAAATAAAAATCATAATATGACAAATTAAAGTTTCTCAACCATTGCTATAATATTAAATAAATAATTATTAAATAGTTATTACCTACTGTAGTTTAATAATAACATACTTAAATAAACGGATTGTGAGCTGGGGTTTGGTTAAGTCAGGTTAAGTAGAAAATATGTGCTTAAATAATAATAGTAATGTGATAAAAATATGTACCATCGAGGACTTGGGATTTAACAAAAATAATGCTAGAGTAATGACTCATTACTAATGAGGATGCTACACCCGCATGTGTTATATCTGTCTTACAAATTTACAACTTTTCAAAAACTGTTTTGCTCGGAGCAATCACCGTTTTTATTTTTTTTTATAGCACTAACAATTTTTTTTAGCCATTTAATGAAAAAATCTAATGTTCTCAAACAGATAACATGCGTTTATGTTATCCAAATAAAACGCTACGACATAGATATAGTTCTTMCTTATATGTTATGGAATTTTAGTAATTCCACTATATATATATTTACTTTATGGAGTATAGTAAGTTGTCCCGTTCAAATCAGTTTTTGCTTTGTTGTATATTTGTAAGACGGAGACAACACGTCATGCGGGTGTAGCATCATCTTTAAAATATGTTAATGTTTACATTTTTACAGATTTATTATTGCTTAAAATGTATATTTATTATATTTCGATAATTATTATTTTATGTTACTCCCGAGGTTACGCCACTGCATAAATTACTAAGTAAGTTTAAAGTTATACCTACGTGTGATTTCAAATGACATCTGGTTTGTTTGAAATGAAGCACTAAGCACAGATTTTGAATAACTAATTATATTAAAAACCACATAATAAAACAATCAGTAAGCTTCTTTAGTTATCTAACTAATGCAAGCGGTCCAATACAATAGAGACTGAATAGTGAATAATTGCCCTAACAGACGCAAACTTCAATGTGGTCATCTCCACGATGCTTAAAATCAGTAATTCTACTTAATTTGTTATTGTAAAAACGAACAATAAAACAAAATAACGTATTTGTTAAATATTATAAAATTATCTTTCTATGATTATTATCCATTACAWTTTAAAATCCAGCTGGTAATCACGACACTGCGTAATCATTGCTTGTTAATATGTGATATTATACAAACACTAAAATTGTAGATTTATGTAGGTATAATACCTATATAAGTTCAATCAATTTGAGTCTGAAAAACTTTTTAATAATAATAAAAAAGAATATAAGTATTAGATTTATTATTATTATTATTATTATCGCACGCTTTGGCGATAGACAAAATTCCACAGTCACCATAACGCGTCCATTTTTTTTTTAAATTACATAATATTTTTCATGAGTAATAAAGAAAAAAATTTAAATTCCATTTTCTAAATTCTACTCTACATTTTTGTTGGCAGGTCTGGAAACAGTCACAGTAGCAATAACATTGTGACAAGCAGCCGTGTCACGTGTAAATATATAAAGTGCCTGGTGTATCGTGAAGTGTCGTATCGATTTTTATAATTATAGTAAAAAAAGTGGTGTTTTTGCGTCGGTGTGTGTGCGGTACGCGTCTCGACGAAGACGACGACGAAAAGAGTGCGCGGCGTGTGTGTAGGCTTGCGGGACATGCACCAACGTGGCGACGTTCAAACAGAATACGGTCACGACGAGCAGGCCACCATCGCGAGGTGGTGCGCGTAGCGGCCGAACCGCGGTGGTGATCAGCACGCCGTGCCGGGCCGCAGCAGTCCATGCGTGATAACGTGCAACCTGCACGCGGCTGCAATGATGGACCAGAAATGTGACGGCGGCGGTGGTGGTGTCGTTGCTGCCGCCGCCGGTATCGGTGGCGGCGGTGTCGGCGGACTCATGTCGTACAACCGTGGCCGTGGCGGCACCGAGGTCATCATCAAACCCCGTAGTCCCGCCGTGGTGCAGGTGGCCACTGGTGGCGGTTACCACGGCCTGCCGACGGCCAACGACGCGGTCATCGTGCGCAGCCCGCCTGGCGGCCACTTGCCCGGGCCGCAGCAGCAAGTTCCCCCGTCCCGCAACGGTTGTTCCACCCTGTTCAGCGATATCGCTGGCGTCAAACGACTTAGGCCCGACGATTGGTTGGCCGTAAACTCGCCACCCGCCTCGTCGCCCGGCACGTCACACATATCCTACTCGGTCATATCGAACGGTAGTGGCGGCGGCGGCGGCGGTGGTTACAACTCGTCTCCAATGTCGACCAACAGTTACGACCCGTACAGTCCGATGAGTGGCAAAATCGGTGAGTGCTTCAACACAATTTTTTTAAAAATTATTTTTAAGTTTATAGAGACCTATTATAATATTATTATGTCGAGTAGCACACTAGCACGTCTCCAACGTCTCTTAGTCCACCCAACCCTCGACTCACATACACCTTAACACTGTGGCGAGTTGTCTGTAATCGTGCCAAATTTAAATCTATCGTATTTCAGCATCTCTTGTTGGGTGATACCCTAGTACTTCCCTTTATGGATATATCTTGTGGAAGGATATTGTAAAAATAAAATAACAGTCCTATAAATTTATTTTTATGACTTTTCGTCAAAAAAATTCTCCTATTTTGGTCGAGTCGAACGTTTTCGTAGCTATAGCGATAAAGTTTTTCTCAAGTCGTCACAGTTTTTCGACGTGCGGCCTATTAAGTTCGATTTGTGTAATTATACAATATAAATATTAAATATTATGTGTGCGTCCGTATTTACTTGGCCTAGTTAGCAAATCAAACACTCGAAACGTCGCGGTTGCCGGTCTACTATTATTATTACTATTATATGTTTTTATAATTGCAATAATATCGTATGGTCGGCAAATAATACGCGAGGAGAAAAACAAACCGAATGACCACATTGTACCTACCTGTTAAGAAATAAAAAAACGAAAAGCCTTGTGATTATTATTTGGTAGGTGTTCCTGGACATAACGTCTTGATACGATTTTCGCTTTTTATTGCCGGCGTCGATATTTTCACGAAAATTATTATAGTAATCGTTTTTTATACATGCGGCTTGGATATGAATAATAACAAAAAAAAAATGAAAAAATGAACTTGTTACTCGTTGAATTGGCCACGCGAGTTATACACTCAACTGTAGGTATATACGTTTGTTGTATATCTCCGACTATACTTATATATCATATTATGTACACGTACAATTTAACGACCTTGGTGGAACTATAGGAATATTCACGTCGTCGATTGCGTAATAACCGAACGTTTATGTGTGTATAAATGCAGCAAGAAATATCAATTATCTCTATGTAATAATAATAAAAAACTTATAAACGATTAATTTGTGTACTATATATACGCACATACCTAATATTGTATTATTATTGTACGTGCTGTATATGTTATATTATAATACATATTATATATAGACATATATATATATATATATATATTAAATACATATTATATTATTATAATATACGATGCGCACACTCAACAGGGTATCAATCACGTAATTGGGTTACGGAAATTTATTCAAAGTTCGACGGTTGACCTCTACGGACCTCTGGGTGCCAAAATGTTTATTTTTTATTTTTACTATTACAAAAGAAAACATTACTTCGCTATAAATGGTGAAAGAATAAAGTAATATTGGGAGCTATTATACATAGTCGTTGTCGTCGCTGTTCCCGTTGACATCGCTGCCGTTTTGATGACGTGAAGGTGGGGATTATTAATTTTGGGATAGACCTTGTATGTTTACGCTCTACACAGCATATATTATACATATATCTATACACCACACTCCCGCGGACTGATACGAAAACAAATATGTAGGTCATTGAGCCTCGCGTGTCTGTATATCTCTTTTTTTCCCCTCCACTCTGCTGCAATCTCTCACCGACCCTCAATTTTATATATATATATACTTCACTCGTTTTTCGAGCCACCGGTACAATATATATTTTTTAGTTGTGGTCTTTAATTTTTCTCTAAAATAAAAATTATAAACATAATATTAGTAACCGCCTTCGAGACACAAAATAAAAACCGCTTAAAACAACACCGGTAAAAATAAAAATAAATAATAAATAATTTCAAACCCAGAAAGGGGAATATATTACATTATTATATATATAGCGAGTTCGTCGCCTGCTGGTGCGTTTTCTTTTATTCTCTCGCGTCCCATCATCATCAGATAATGATAATAGTAATAATACTAAAGCATATTTCGAACGTAAAAAATACCTAACGGTACCTACAATAACGACTATATACTCTGTAGTTTTCTTCTTCGCATCCGTTGCGGTGTGTAGCAGTGTGCTCGTCGGAGAACAATATCGCCCTTGGGTAGCTTAATCTTAGGCGGCCGCGGAACGGTGGTACATTAATATTATAATATAATAATGTTATGTACGAGGGAAAAAGAGAGAAGGCCTTTCTCTTTGTCCAAATATCGTAAAAGAACGTTTCATGTATAGACCGTCTGCTGTGACAATCACAATCTTACCCGTTGTATGTTATAACGGATCAGTCGGATCACTGCAGCGAACTTTTTATCAATTTTTAATTATTTAACATATCGTGTGCCCGATGAGTGTAAAACACTCGACGTTRTTGGCTCATTATATTATATTTATTACTACTATGTTAATCTGTATATACTAATGATTTACGCTCATTTTTTTTTTTATCCACGACAATAACTTCTTGACCTTGCAAACTACGGTGGAGGGTTAAAACGCTCGACCGATAAAAATAAGTAGGCCAAACTTATACGAGAAATACAATTTTCCGTGGTGTCCATGATAATATAAACGCGATCGTAGAATATAATATTACTATACCGCATGGTATGTACTATGTACACAAACGAATATACATGACTGTAATATTTCTTTCGAAAGACGTCGAAAATTGTTACACGTTATTACACACCTTAGAAGTGTAATGATAATGAATAATGATATACAATAGGTAACGTTTTTATTTTATTTGTGGTTAGATAGCTATACAACAAGGTGACTGTTAGGCTACCTACATATTAGTGTATTGTATAGTGTTTTTCTCCTGTTAAAACCAAATTAATTAAATCGACGGTTACTTTAAACTAAAAATCGCATCCGAGCGTATACGTACACTTCTAATTGAGCGTGTTTTTGAAAGTTAATGATAAAATAGTTGAATTATCTTTAATTGAACGCACGTTCCGTCTGYGAGATAGAATAACTCAAATGCGGGTTGATGTGGTCTGTTTTTTATATTGTGTTTGTTATGTACATGCTACCCGTATGTGCATGACACATTAATTGGTTGAATTTTTACAGTTTATAACGTTGTATGTTATAACATATTATGGCCCCTCACACATGACCTTCGTTGTATTAAAATTCATAATAATATTCTTTTTCATTTCTTTTCGGCGTTCCATCCCCTCTGACGTATGCGTGCGTTAGCATATAGCTATGTGGGCGTCTGATCGTTCAAAGGGTTGTGCAAGTCAAGGACTTTCAATTCCAAACGGTCTGATCGTGACACGACGATAATATTATTGTTGTTTTTGTTAGGTTGTTTAGTGATAATTATTTATATCATTATAAAGGGAAATCGACGAGGATTTTATGAATCAAAGGAACGCGCGGTGGATGGACCGAAACGAAGCGATGACTATAATAATTGGACCAAGGTCATCGGGCGATGTATTATTTTCTTTGCGCGTCGATGATTTCAGGAAACGCACGTTATCGAAAGGGATTGTGGAAATCAGTTTTACAAGTTATACATCGTAGTGATGTACCTTATATAAGTTACATTATTTTTTTTTTATGTATATGTATGACCTAATACGTATCAGAGCATCGTAACGTTGGACGTCGGTAGATAAATCACTTTTTTCTCCCGACGATGACGAATACAATACACGGCCGTCCTGTATTGTCACCCGGTAATGAACCGTGTGTGCTCGAAAGAAAAAAACTAAACGTTTAACACATACAACGACTACGGCTAACGAACGACGGAGCGTACGGGTTAGATAACTGCAGTGGCCGATGGACGTGACTACTTTTTTAAGAGTTTACAAAATAGTGAAACGTCGTCGGTTTGGGGATATTATTATACACCGCGAGCCGGTGTACTATATAAGTAGGTCATTTTAAGCTTAATATATTATATTATTATTATTATAGAAAGGGAACCGACATTTGACCTATACCCCGGAGCTGGTTAAGCAGTCGGATTTTTCGTCGTCGTCTACGAGTATACGCATACACACGTGTGGCTGAATTTTTTCTCTGTCATCATTGTACAGTATTAAATTTGCTGGAAATAATCAAAGTGAAATCTGGGTTTTTTTTATCCGTACGGCAATAGAGTTTATTTAATATTATTGTTATTATTGTCATTACTACTGATATCCGGTCCGCTATCGACTTTTTTTTGTATTCAACGATTGATATAAAAAGTATTTATCAGATTTTGTATATCATATTTAATACATACTCGTATCATAACGAGAGTTTTTTTTCATTTGTGATTGATTAGACTTTGGTCTAACTGATCCATGTGAATAGTAATTCGAATGGTCGGTAACTGTATAATAATAATATACTGTTTACTGTTTGGAAAGTTCTACTTCTAACCGATTTTCTTACTGCATAAAAATAAATTTTAATTTTAAACGCGATCGACTAACCAATTATAATCGCTCACTATATATACTTACCGACTTAAGCATATTTAAACAACTTGTACGTCTATCCGTTGAGCGTTTTAAATAAATAAGTCTTGTACTATTATAATAATATTATTATACAAATGCGTTTAGTACTCAATTTGCTTCGCTGCATGCACACATATTTTCATATTATACATAATATTATGCTCGTCCGTCTATTATAGAGCGGGTCCGGCGTTTTCTAAAATTAAAATTTCTACGACCCGACTAAAAATACACACACACGTCGTACTCGTACGTGCCGAGCGGATGGTAGGTTCCAGTCTACCGGTACTATCGTGTTATGGTGTTGTGGTGAGGGGGAAATGCAATCGTGAGAGGGAGAGATGAATCTTTCACTTTTCGAATGGGGACACGGCGGCACCGAAACCAACAGTCGCCGCGTCGGTAATGGCGTGAATTGCGTTTTTAATACTTTCACTATATATATAATAATATAAAATAATATAATAATATACGAGTTTCAATAACGTCGCTAGTCTGTTAAAATAATAATATATACTCGCCATCGTATACGTATAGCGCGTGATTGATACGCGTGCCCATCAAAAGC